TTTGCCCCATCTTTCGTCACTAATTTCCCCCCTGCAGCCAATGAAGGATGGAGATTCTCCTGACCCCTCCTTTTGCTGTTAATGTATTTATAGAAACATTTTTAATTGTCTTTTACTGCAGTAGCCAAATTAAGTCCTAGTTAGGCTTTGGTCCTTATAATTTTCTCCCTGCGTAATGTCACGACACGCTTGTAGTCCTCCTGAGTGGCCTGCACCTTCTTCCAAAGGTCATAAACTCTATTTAGTAAGATTCTGGTTCGGGTGGCTCACATTTGGAAATGGTATGTTATATGCTTGTTTCTTGATAAATGTAATTCCCACAACATTAAAATTGTGTAGCTTAACATCGGGTAAATAGGACTCCAGATGTCAGATTCTTCTCATGATATTATTCTTACACTAATGGTTTAGAGAGCGACACTAGTGAGATGGAGCCTTTTTCAAGGAGTAATGCATTTGGGCACAAAATCTGGCTTAAGGGCATTCCCCTGGGTGTTGTAAAGCCACAGAAACAGTTCTGTGTCATGGCATGGCAATGAAGCTATAGACCTGCTGAGAAGAGCAGGTGGCCAGAGGACATGGCAGTAGGTGTATTCCTGGTGAGGAAATACTGCCTCAGCCAACACAGCCCTGGAAGCACAAGAGAAATGAGTCACATGTGAGACAGTTTCCATTTGCCCATGTTCAGCAACAAGCTGAACAAGAAACTTCTCCACAGCATTTTAAGTTGTCGATCTCAAAATATCAAGTTAATATTTCAAGCATAAAAATCATTAGTCTAGCTTGCATAGGATATGATCTTCCTCACTCCTACAAAGGCAAATGCAACTTCATGTGTTTGGTGTCAGATTGCCAGCTACCCAAAACTGGGATATTACACAGCCAAACTCAAAGACCATGTTCCACTTGCTCCATGCACCGTGTGTATGGGCATCAGGGGTGGGTAGGCGTTGATATTGGCTGCTAACAGCATGTGAAAATATCACCTAGCATCTGTAAGACTGGAAGGTCTTTTGATATTCGAACAGCTTTGATTTGTTCACATAACCATTCACAAGTGCCTGCTATTTTTAAAGTCTTCTGCCAGCTTCTAACAAAAATTTAAAAATGTAATTTTGAAGTTATAGAAAATATGCAGCAGGGTGTTTATGAACAGTTTATTTATCTTCTCTGAAATGTACTCATTGTTGTGAAGATTTTCTTGCTGGTCTCTCAATTTGTGCCTGGTTACTGGTCACTCCACAGCAATTTAGATCTGACGACTCCAGGTCTCCTATATCGGAGCATACACAGGCTAGTCTCCTTCTCACTCTCAGACTGGTAATGCTCTACTTACAACAAGAATAACCACCAGTTGTATTAACTACTGTAATTAAGCAATTATATTAAAAAGCTGTAAAACAATAAGTGACCAGTTCTCTCCAGTGGTCACTCTCCAGTGGAAGGAGCAGATACTTTGGCTAACCTAAAGGGACGCGACATAACTTTGGTATTCTGTTACTCCCCGGCAAATGAGACAACTCTCAGTTTCTGTAGGAAGAATACCAACACTGAGCACAGGAAGGTCCTGAAAATGAAAAAAAGTGGCTAGAATTTTGATTTCCTTTTATCTTTCAGTAGTATTTATTTTACTGTACTGAAGAGATCTTGTCTACACTGTAGAGCCAGGAAGAATGAAGGATGATCTCTAAAAATCTCCCTGCAAATTAATACTGTTCCTTGACCGCAAATGGTCTGTTTCCCCAGACAGTATTTGACAGTATTTGGAGTTTCACTTACAGATAAAGAATTGTTCAGATGATTTGAACCTTGTTCTTAAAACTGCAGGGTTTCATTCTGTATCTTTCAACCTAGAGACAAGTTGGCATTAACACGTTCCCTTTTTATGCATGAAGTTGTGTGCTCTGTTGTTGACCAAACAACTGACAGAACAAGGAGCCTTTGCACACCAATCTGCCATAGCCAAATCAGATCAGCAGTTTTGATATATTCACAAATACAGATGTTCTTTAGTATTTTTCCATTAATCAGTTAATTAACTGCTTTAATTATAAAAAAACCCTCTGATTTCGAAGTAAAATTGAATATAGCATACCTGTTTATCTACTGATGAATTATATGTGCAACTGACTAACCAGAGAATACACGTAAATGAGTATTCAAGTCTTTTTGTTTGAGACTACTAGGTAATAAGGTACATGCTGGCTGACAAAAAACAACAATAAAAAAATTACCAAGCTAAAATTCTTGCTTATTCCATAGTTACATCTATTGACATGCATTTAATGAAAGCTGTTTACTTGCCAGAAAACTAAACAAATAATGGGCACTGCTTTAGCAAACCACTAGCTGGCTGAAGTGTTTTTCATGAATTAATCTTTCTTTTTATGAATGTAAGGCAGAAAAAAAAAGGGGATCGTGCAACTTGTAATGACATGTGTGAGCTCCTTCTGTGTGTTCTGCAATGGCAAAACACTGCCACGGACTACAGCGAGGGACAGGGTTGCCATGCAGCTCAGCAAAACAGCCCCTGAAAAGGCATGCTGACCCACTTTCAACTACCAGTTCTTGCTGACCCTTTGTTGAGTGAGAAGTTCTTCCAAGTTTTTGTTGTTTTCACCCTTTCAGTTCTCATTTCTAACGGAGCAAGCCTGTCTCTCTGTTTCTCCTCGTTTTATTCTTTCTGCTCTAGCATGCATATAGGAAAAGCAGATTGTTTCTTGTGACTGTCTTTGCCTTAGTTAATTAAAAAAACCCAAAATCTTCCACTCCTCTCCTTGTTAAGAACATGCTGTGGCAGAAATATGGATCTTGCTGTCAATAAAATCATGATACAATTCCTTAAAGAACTCAGTCTGATTAGAGTAATTCATCTATGAAAAGCCATACTTTAATTGTTACTCTTGGCAATAGTGAAGGATAATAGTGTAATATTATACTAAATATTGCCACATGCAACAGTAAAAAAACTGTTTCAGTCTTGCCAACAGCGGTGTGCAAACTCCCTTTTGAATTCAGGTTTGGATGTTGTGATTTAATCTAAATCTTTTGCTTTTCCTTCTTCCAAAACCAACACAGGTTTAAAGAGAGCTGCATTTTTATTGGAACCATTTGCTCAGCCTAAGTTGCCAAAATAATTTAGCTAAAACTAGTGCTTTTATTTGGGTTAAGGTTGATTCCTGAGCTCCACAGAGGTCAAGGCACTTAGTTTTGTCTTCCTCTTTTTCAATTCCACCATGGAGTCTACAGCAGAGCTCTGCCAGCTCAAGTTGTATCCTGAATCCCAGTCCCCCAGTTGAGTTTATCTATGTTCGTGACTTCGCACAAGTGGAGGAGAAACCCTTTTTTGGCCCTTTTTCTCATTATTTATCTGCTATAGTGCATAGAAAAATGCATGGCTCCAAGGATTCAGAATAAGCAGGCTCCAGCAGTGTAACACTGCAAATCCTGCTGCCAGTGCTGCTGCTGCTGGTGTGTTAGTGTGACCTCTCCTTTGATAATGAGTGACAGCTGCTGTGAAATGCCTCACAGGGTGTTTGCCTCTCTTGGGCAACAAGTGGAAAAATGTAAAAATACAGAATTCTGGAAGTGAGTTACAGAAAAAAAATGCTCTACTTTATGCTACTTGAAAAGAATTGTCTGAACTTCAGATAGCTCCCACAAAATGACAATACAGTCACAATCTCCTGCCAAAACTTATAAATCCTGGGAAATGTTTCACAGTAACAAATACTGGAATATTATCGCTATCAAGGAAGTATTTGTCTCTCACTATTTATGTTTTTTGTGTGTGGGCATGCTTTTGTAAATGAGACAAAACCAAGCTCCTGAATGTCAGAAGCTTTATGTGATGGGGGGTTTTGAGTCAAATACCCATTTCTAAATCTATCCTCTGTTGTTAGAGCCTAGTTTGGATCCAAAAAAATGAAAGATTTTTTGGTTTGTTTTCAATTCCATTGCAGCAGAAACGTCATAGGTCAGAATGATATATTAAAGATGCTCTACGGTAGAAATGCCTTGATCCGAAATAGATTAAAGCTAGGCTTCAGTTTTAAAGCGCAATCAGGGTAAAGATTTGATGGTTCTTGTGTATCACATTTTCTCTCAGGAGATTCTAGCACAAAACAGTTCAAATCTCATCTTTAAATTAGTATTACTGTCTTGGGTGAATTCTCATAAAAAGAGAACCAGAAATAAGCCATTCTTGGGTTTGTTTTAGATGCAATCCAAACCAAAAGCAGCAAGAATTTAGTGAATGGGAATCAGAAGCCAATCTGTGTAGAAATACAATGTTGTATCAATTCAAGGTCTAGTTTTAACCCATCCTGAAAATATACGTCTTATTTAATGGCACAAATGTTTGCCTCTGCTTGCACTACAGAAGAGAATATAGAGTTAAAAAGATGTAGCTTTAATACAAAATTAAGATTGTACAGAATTTTAGAAACCTACATGACAGCTGACAGGATACTATGATTTCTGTCCCATTATAAGTCCTGACAGCTCAAGATTTGATTTTGTCCTAAATCTGTCAGAAATCTTAAATATAAATAATGTAGGGTGAACCATATAAAATAGAAATTTGAAATTACTGTTTTGTCATTTTTAATTCAAATTGTCAACACCTCTGAATGAGAAAACGGTCTGAATCCAGAAATCGCTGCCTCTTTGACTCTAGACTATCTTATCAGAATACTAGCCATACAAGAAAAAAATTTAAAAATGCATGAGATAGGACTGAACAGGACTAAGAAGGTCTGGCCAATGCATTTTGTAGCTGCCATTTTCGGGTTTAGTCATTCTAAGAGGTTTTCCTTATAAAAGAGAAGATAGGCCACTTCAGTGTGAGCCTGAAAGATCTCAAAACTATGCACAACATAGGATTAAACAAACTACTTCAGAGCATTTCTTGTTCAAAAATACCAAATTAGATGTTGCCTCTGATGGCGAAGAAGAAATCAAGCTCTCACCCTTATAACCAGCCGCATTGGTTTTCCAGTCGTTAGCATTCAGATGTCCTGCACGTGAAGTCCTGACAATAATATGCTGTATGTCTCTCCAGGTCAGAAATGGACTATGAAAAAGGGGAAAGACAAAGTCACAGATCAGACATTTTTTACCAGAATGTAGGGATACAAGGTCATGTAAGCTAAAACGTATTTAAATGAAAACAACCCTCATTTCTCTTCTCTGCTTTCCTTTGCTGCATTCGAAAGAACACCTCCTAATTTTGCAGAATTACTACATGAAATCTTTTATACAGCTGGGATATTTGCATTAAGCAGATTATAACGATACATGATAATATTCTATTATGTAAAACTTATGGGAAGATGAAGGAGTACATTTTACACAGAGGCAATTTGTATGACCACCAACCACTGTATGTTACCTACCTTGATCAGGGCAAAGGAAAAAAAAGCTGATGTTGGCTTGCTGAAAAGCTCTGCTAAATCTTACTAATTGTGTGCTAAAGCTAGCAATTCCTTCAGCTTCTGTTAAAGCTATTTCGGGGGCCTCTGTGCCTTTATTTGTCTATTACCCCCAGACTTGGAATTCACTGACGGTCTATGTGTATTCTTCAAGAAGACTCAGCAGCCAGCACTGAATGTGAACGGTTTACAGAGCAAGTGCCTAACTCCACACATGTGTAGTCCTTTAAGGGATTCCTAATAACCTGTCCACCAGGAAGGTGAAGGAAGATACCCTTTGCATCCTCACTATGACATTAATACCCATTTATCTTGTAGGACTATAGTAAATCTTTAGGGATTGTAGTTTTATTGTTTCTCTTAAATCCATCCGAAAGAGAATTTCTTATCTTAGAATATGACCTAAAGGTGGATGGCCGTCATTGGGGTTCTTTTCCTTCTCCTTCCAATTTCTCAGTTTTCCTATCATCTGTAAGAAGACAAATGGTTTTCCATTTAAAAATGCAGAGAAACTGGGCCACTAAATAATGCAGAGGAAAAAAGTACTGCAGTGCCAAACACCAGTCACTCAGTTTCATTCTCAGAGTATCATTACCTGCCCTTATTGCATGCACTGGCACAACTCCACTCAGTTGTAATGATGAAGATGGACCAGAATGAACTTTATCAGACGCAGCACTGGCTGTCTACACTGTCCAGGACTAGCCAATCACTGAAAACCTGGGAAATCTTGGTTCAGTGCCTTAACACGCTCTGCTGTCTCTCAGACCACGAAGTCACCTGGGCTAGCAGACAAGAGACCTCTTCTCCGTACTTATCTTTAAGGCATGATACTTTGGCTTTGCTTCCACTTGCAGGCAGAAACTACACCAAGGCAACAGCCATGAGAGTGTGGGGAAGGTCAACCCATGGGTGACTGTGAGGGGGTCACTTTCTGGGGTGAGTGGGACATTACCATCACAAGGAGTGACTCTATATTCTTAAATTGACACATAGTCAAATTACTAGAAATTTCAGTGCGAAGTTTCTTTGGGAAGCAGACACAGGGTAACAGCAAATAGTAGTAATACCTTCTTCTTCTCTATGTCCCCCTAACTGTCAAAGACACAAAAAAATCTCACTCATCTCTCTGATGTACACAACTGAATGTTGTGTGAATTGGCATCCTGCACACATTGTTTCACATCTTCGAGAACTTGTTTCATCAGAAGACTATCTTTTTGGCAATATTTGAGTAATCAGTGCTTTCTGGTGCTTAAACACGGAAGCAGAATCCTGCTTATCCTGTGAGCTGAAATCAAACTATTAGGAAGCAATCAGTGAATGCATGTGATAACCGATTAAAAAATTAGTACTTTCTTTTTCTTTGAAGATGCATCACTTTAGGCTTTCAGGTGACAAATTTCAGCTTTCACAAGCTGCAGCTTTAGGAGAAGGCAATAGGGATGCAGAAGTTATTGCAAACCTCCAGTCAACTTGTTTATAGAAAATCTTGCTCCTAGCTTATCCTCTGTGCACATGTAGACATATATTAATTCATATTAACCAACAGAAGTTCACCTGTGTTGGTGGAATTGCTGAAAATGAAAATGCATTGCAGAACCATGGTCTGTAATTCCATACAGGAGAGAAAAACTTGGGACATATAGAACATTCACTCACATATAACTAATTTTTACATCTTTTACTTTCCAATAGCCTTATAATTCATATGCTTGAAAACACATAAGAATTGCCTAAAAATGTCAAACTTCTTTTATGTAACAAGATTGTAAGGAAAAATGCAAAGACAGGGACCAAACTATCTAACTAGACAGGGACCAAACCATCTAACTATATATATTTTTCTCGTTTCCTTTGCAGTAACACGATTTTAATTCTGAGTGTATTTTCATCATTGCAGAACATTTCCCAGTGTGTGTGTGTGGACCATGGCTATGCTGATGTAACATAGCACCGTTCTAGGTACAGCTGGGGCACCACAGGAAGCAGCATGTATTATTCTAGAGTCAACACAGAAAGTACTGTCTATGCCTGTTGCTGAAATAGGAAGAGGAGATGGAACTATCTGAAGAAACAAGATGATTTTTAAGTGAACCTCTTATTAATTGTAGCCAGAATTTTTTGTAATTTCTTCCAAGCTCTATCAATTCATGACCATTCAATTTCTCTCTGTTTTTGGATACAAGACATAAGGGTATTTCCATACTTAAATTATTCTGTTATTTTTAAGGATAGCTGATGTCTTCTGTACCGGAGTATTTATTAAAGCATTAATATGCTCATAGATGCATTTTTTTTTCTTAAAGTGGAACATACTAGGCATTTGGACTAGAATGACAGTAATTGTTTATCCAGCTGAGCTGGCAAAAATGACTGAAAAAAAGAGAAAGAAAATGTCATGGAATGTAAGGAGTATTAAGGATTTGTAAGATAGGGTATGCTTGGACAGTCACGTAACATGCTTCAAGAAAAAATATCAGTATCAACAGGAATTTCACTGGAAGCCTATGTAAAGTTTTAGAAAAACATGTTTCAAGCCTTCAGGAAAACCTCCAGGAATCCCAAGAGCTGCATTCTTTATGATTTGGGTTCTAAACAATCTGTTATTCTATAAAGCAAGCTGTTGATGCTACTGGTGAAAAATAAGGCACTAAAATACACCTCTCAACTTCTAAAGGAGATTCCAGATAGGGCACACTCAACTGATTATTTAAAGAGGAATGATGGATCTAATGATAAAGCTAACCATACCTAGACAAAGGATCTAAAGATATAGCAGTATTCACTTGATAAGACTAACCTATCATAAACTGGACTTAGGTTGCTCAGTCAGCAAATGAGATTATATCTCAGAACCATGGCTTACTTCTAAAACCAAAAATCATGGCAGATCTCAAAAACTGAGCCATTCAATGTTGCATCTGCAATCCTTCTCTAATCATAAAAAATAATGTAACAATTTCTGGGGCAGAAAACCTTGATCAAAGGTCTGACTTCCAGGACATGACATGGTATATAGTTAAATCAGTCTAACTCTTATGCAACCTCCAACTCTGCTTCCTTACTGCATAATTCATAAGACTTTTATGTTTTCTTCTCAAGGAATGGCAGTTTGGGCATATTTATATCTCAGAGATTTAATAGCGTAAGAACAATATTCAAACCAATTTCTGCAGCCTACTATAGGACTATATACTATTGCCAGATTGAAATTTTCCTTCTACAGTACATTCCATTTGAAACAAAATAGTTCTGAAATTGTTTGCCCATCATTTTTTTCACAAACTTTAACAAAAAAAAAAAAAAGAAAAAAAAAAGAGAGAAACTGGAATGATGTCAAAATAGCAGTTCATTTGGAGAAAGAAGAAGGATTTTTTTGTTTTTCTGTTTTTTTAAACAAGATAGTCCTGCAGCCAATTTTAAAGCATTTGGAAAAATCACAGAATTGGTCAAATATTTGTAAAACATGTCAAAATTGGATCCTAAGTGAGTAAACAGTTGTTTGCTAGCCATGTGGGCCCCAGATCCAGACAAGATGTCACTGATGTTAATTGATTTACCACTTGATTAATCTCAGAAGAATTAATGGCTAAACATCTTGAAATGAACAAACACATCAACAAGAACAGTACTAACTCTGCTTGACAATGGACTGATTTCAAAAAAAGGGCAATTTCCTTCCAGAAAATTTTTTTATCAATGTCTCATCTGCATTTGCTGTGGGATTACACATACCAGACAGTACTCAAAATGAAACCAGAATAAGCAGAAGTGAGAACAATTACATACAAAAGCGCTTGCACAGCAGCCAGAAAATAATGAATGTTGTGTCCTTAACCATCAGTTATACTCTAAGGTACAGCCCTTGTCCTTCAGGATTCTCAAAAAGTTTATGAAACAAGGTAAATGAGAAACAATGAAATCGGACAAACAAATTACATTACAGTAATATTAATCTGAAATTTAATTTTATCTTTAAGCAGCCTGCTTAGGAATAGTAGATCATATTTGGCCAAATCTGATTTCTTCTTTCCACAAGTAGTCTCCTTAATGACAATGAATAATGATTGATATGTTATCTTCATAACCACCAATTTGAATGAGACAAAGGTGGTCTATCTGAAAAAAATTTTCTTGCCAAAATAGCAGAGTCTGATGAGAATTGCTGGAAGAATACAATAAACTTTCCTCCAAAGAATCATGGAAAAAAACAGTATCACAGGGTGGATTAAGATGAGGATCACCATTCAATTTGGAAGTATCAAATAACCTTCTTTGGAAATCTTGGCTAAGAAAGAACAGACATGGATAATTATTGCTATAAAAAGGAGTCTCTGTGCCCTAGACATTTTGTAGAACAGTAGGAGATAATTTTCATCACTCATTTCTGCATAAGGCCACCCTTAAGAGCTTCATGACAAATATAGAAACAAAACTTAAGAAATAGTTGCCTGGTTTATTCACACATTCCCATCACTTACAAATCAGCCTAATTGTCACAGGAGATCTACAACTGTACTACTTGTCCTAATGACTCCAATACATAGCCCCATGGACAGGAATACTAGCTATGTTAATAGAAGAAATTATTCTTTTGCAGGTTGCGTAAAGAGTCAGTGCGAAGATGCATGTTACAGCA